TCGTATCAAGATAAGTTCTCTCGACAGATGGTGTCTTACTTATACCTCACGAACTTAGTTAACGAATCCCTGTCTTCAGGTGGTGCTTAATATAGTGCCTGACTCTTCATTCCCAAGGTTTACTGCTATGCGAGAACTCATAGGCAAATGATTTTCGTTGATTATAAAATTATATTACATTCAACCACCCCCATCTCTGCTTATATGTCCACGTCATTGAGTAGTTTTTGTTTAAAGAAAAATATATCATAGCTCTATATCTTGTGGGTGAAGCCAAAATCAAAGAATTCCAACCATCATCGGAACGCGTTTACGAAGGCACGGGCAAAGTTCAAGAATTTTCAGTATTTTGTGTTGTATTTTACGCTCACTATAAATTTTGGCACATATTGTCGTATAACTCGTGAACAAAGTCGAAATCTGAACATTTCTGGCCACCTAAACACGACCAGAAGACTGTCTGAATTCAACCGAGAAATTGTATTGCAACGTGTGCAGTACTTTTAGAAATAATTTAGACCAACGTGCGTATTTCAAATAAAGATTATCATTCTGAGTGCGGAATACTTATTATTATTATTCGGCGAAGAATTTATCGTGGCAACTGGTTAAAACGAACTTCGATGGCACGTCACACATAATTTAAATAGCATGATAAAAATAAATAGACAATTAAGAAAAATAGGAACTTAATATACTTGCTTGTACTTCAAACAACATGAAATATATAACCACCAAATACTATTTATCTGTGATATTGAGGTCTCAAATCACTACAAATTTGATTTGGAAGACTCATAATAGAAAGTTAGAGATGATATACACACTTTTCGGCCGCCACCGAGCTGTACGTAGCGCTTGCGGCAGCACCATCAGGACAACCACCAAAAGCTGTAATGCAGTTGTACTTCGCTCTTAATTGAGTGAAAATAATATGTCGATCCCGTTTCTTGCTTCCTCAAAATAGGCTCGTCTCACTCTCTTCTAGAATCACATGTAACATCATCACTTGAATTACTTTCACTTAATCTCCACGGGTAAATATGCAGGAAAGTTCTAGCCTGCTCGTGAAAAAAGTGTTATTGACATAACTTTTTTTATTCAAATTATTTAAATTTATAATATAAGTCAACGCTTCTTTGTTCAGAGGCAATTTTTTAAATTGAAACCATCTATTTAAATAACTAATAAAATGAATGCTCCAAAATTAAGGTTGATTAGTCCCTAAATACCGTTTATTATATGACGGAAACAATATTGGCCCCGAAACAAGAACCAAGATTACTCGTCATGGTCGGATCGAAATCGGAACGAGTACGCTGTGACCACACTATTCGTCTCCCGACTATTTGTCTTGTCACACTACTGTATTTGTTACCCGAGATCTGTCACGATGTTAGATTTATAAGAGGTATAAATAACAACATATATGTATGTAAAATCTCATTGACTGATTTGGATGCAAGTACAAAAACAATTATTATATTTGAGAGGCTCAGTCGCATTGTTGTGATTCTGGTGAATAATTTTAAGAGTGCAACCAAGAATGCAGCTCGTACTGAACAAAGTAATGACAGTTACAAGAGATAGTTGCTCTCCGACTGAAGCCGAAAAACATATTCGTAATTGACTAATTGCCTAATAATTTGGATTTAACAAGAAATGGAACAACAGTCGGCATTCTGTGAACAATAACGCAACCAACTACTCGATGCCACGGCCTAATAATTTATATCTGATGGCCCTACTTGAATGGAGATACGAAACTGAAGACTACAAAACTTCGGTTACGGTACTCCCCTATCGAAACATTAAATTAATTCGTACCGCGTGTTTTGTGATTCCAATTTCGTCGTTGTGTCTATAAAGTGAAGGATACGGCGACAAAGCTTATTCGTGCAGCTTTAAAATTATTAAGCGCATGAATGAACAGCCAGAATGCCCTGTTGGTCAAGTTTAGAGCGAAAAGCGACATCGAGTGCATATTATAGGTATACATGTGGACCTGGATTAATGTCTATTCGTTCACACACGCTTTCAACCTTGACTTTGCGTTTCGCAAGGCAAAATTTCTGCCTTTTGATTAAGATATGTTTAGTTTGAAGTTTCAAATCACGTGTGACAACATAGGGTAACATGGGGCAGCGAGCCCACTGCGGGTCATGGGCCCATAGCGGGTTTCTCGCTAAGTATGGCAGATATTGGTCCGTGTTCTCTACCGCTGGTCGACAGTTTCACTGGGATGAAGTGTACGGATTTACGTTTTGTTAAGTGTTTGCGTTATTAAGATATTTGTGGATAACTGTTTCAGCCCAGATAAAGTTTTTTTTTTGCTGCTAAATAAAACTGTTTTCGATTACTGTCGATGAAGCTTTTGAAATTACTGTGAATTATATTTTGCAAGTAATATTTACAGGGATAATTTTGAGATCAAGTTTAGACTGTTAGCTTTTAAAATAAAATGTTGACACGATATAAATTGAAATGATACCTAGTGGGGGCAACGGGCCCACGCGTGTCACGAAGCTTTTGAATTACCAATCACACTTCATATTGCATGATTTTTCGATTTGCCGCCTCAAGGCAGCAGGTTTAGTTTCTAGTTATGCGTATTTATGACCCCTTATCGAGTTATTGACTCTTGCCTTGCCAAAAGTTGATTTCAGTCAAAACCAATGAGCCAAAAGTTGATGAGTTTTTATGGTGTTAGCTGAAATCACGATTAGGTACGAATTCTCTGCACATAATATCTGGATTATGGGCAAAACTGGAACGAAGTTTTTTTCTGATCAACTAAATATATTTTTTCTAGTCAAGAATACATTTTTTTCATGTCAGGACGCATTTTTTATCGCAAGGATATATTTTTCAAGTCAAGGATATATATTTTCATGTCAATGAAATATTTTTCTTCACGTCAGTGATAGATTTTTTAAGCCAAGGGTATATTTTTTTCATGTTAAGGATATGATTTTTTGAGTTGTTAATAAATGAATGATTGTCATATTTTTTAAAAACATTTTTTCTTATTTTTAACTGTAAAGTGTTGTTTTATCATTTTTAAACGAAAAATATGCAATTGCGGTAAAAGGACCAAGGGTGGGCGCCTTGCTCCAAGCCCATGGGCCCATTGCCCCAGGGGTGGGGCAATTTGACACTTTTTACAAAACAGTGTTTCATTAAAAATTTAATAACTCTATAGGCGCCTTATTCACATCATACGTTCCTCATTAGTTGCACCTTTAAACAAAACAAAGAACCACTTCGTATCAATTAAAACTTAATAAAAAAAATTAGTTTAAAAAAAGGGGGGGCGCGCTGCCCCATGTTGCCCTACTATCTTGATTCGATCGCTAGAGTAAATTCAAAACAAGGTGACACAAATTACAATGGGTTTGTCAATTCTTCTATATCTTCAAATCTGCAACAGACTGTATAAAATTCAGCTTTATAATAGAAATAAAATGTAGAGAACGAAATTTCAACATCTCTCTAGACTTCTAAAACCCCGTACCAATTAACCTTCAAAATTTAATATGAGAACACAGCTAGCCATTCATATTCAACTGATATAAAATTTTTTAAAAAGAGACAAAAATAGATAGAAATGAGTTAAAAAAATAGATATTAACTCTAAAAGAATACGCATGCTTCAAGTACGTTAACTTTGGTGACGGTTCCTATCAAAAATAAAGGAATAAAAGAAAAACGAAATTAAATACCCTAAAGTTCAGAATAATTGAACGATTATGTTGTGAAATTCCGACGAGCAGTGATTTTTTACATCGCAAAATTTACTCATTCTTTACTCGCAAGAATTTCATATTATCGTAAAGAAGAATTGATTGTTCGAGATCTAAACAAAATTAATTGTGACGAGAAATGGACATCTTTGATGCAATCGTGAGATTAATGAAATTTTATCGAAATTCTGAGTTTTATTATTTTTCATTCCAGTTTAGGCTAAGAAATAATTTGTGCTATGCCCATAAGTTCCAAAATGATTATCTTTACTAAGAAGACGCAATCATATCGCATTCACGAAATTCGGTTCAAACCACGCTAATATTTAAAATCACGACAAAATGAATGAATATTGAATGTTACTGCAGCCAGCTATATAACTAGGAAGGAATAAGTCCAAGGGAATCGCATATAGTGTACTTTAAGGGTGTAACTATACTCGTAGTTCTATGCAGATTTTAGAATGGAAGATTTTTATTTTGTTGATGTTTCTTTCGCTTTATGAGTTCAGTGTCTCGGCATTTGTAAGGTTTCAAAAATTGCTGAACATTATCGACAATATCCATCGCGTTAAAATTTTATAAAGTCTTTGGATTGAATTCGTTGAGTTGCCATTAGGAATAAAGTGTTCATGCCGTGACCAAGATGAGAATGACTTCATGTTGGCGCTAATGGAGTTGAGTGGGGACCGATAAAAGCTGTCCACTTTGAGAACATATCCTAATGGAGGCTTCAAAAAGATTGCACGTTACTACTTGAGCTTAATTTATTTTCAACTCGATCAGGACATTCGAAAGGCAATTTTACCATGCGCAGTATAGCTAAAATGACTCAAACGTTGATCGATAGCCACCAGAGGCATTAACGTTTCAGACGTTCGAGTATCATAGCTTTGCCTATATTCAGATTTTCTTTCAACATAAAGATCATATATTCTCCCTAAGTATTGGGCATTCGACAGCGGTCTTCTAATGCGTTAGCAGCATTACCATGTCATCCACGATAGCGTCAAGAAGCGTTACGTCAGAACACAGTTTGGGAACTTGCAAACTATATCATATCATCGTCAGTTGTACATGTTGAAACCTGCATTGCATTTATTATCTAAATTAAAGTTTAAATTATTGATAGGAAGAATAAAATTATCTTCTTCAATTTTCGTGAATTTAATCATGTAAAATGCTGTCCTAGATGTCGACTTCTTTTGCTTTTAAAAAATTATCATACATCGATCGTGATGAGTGACTCTTTCGATGGTTCTCACAAGTGATAAAACTCTCAGAAAATTGGCTGCTCCAACTCTCTTCAAACTTTATTTGCGCTGTTAATAGTAGTATATATGCATTTACGCTGGCTTTAAAAATTCAAACTTGATCTAATTTTCTTCTAAGAATGTTGATCTTTGCGACCCTTCTGTTGGTGTCTCTAGTGTGCGACGCCCAGTATTTCGAGAACGAGCCAGTGTGGCTTTCCCAGCACTACACTTCTTCCTGCTGGCCGGCGTCTCAGGTGTTCAAGACCCCAAACATTTGCCTGTGCTCCCAAATGTGCTTGAAAAAATTGTGCATGGCGATTTCGTACAACGAATCAAGTAAGTTTTTATTTACGGGCCTGAAAATAAAAGTACAAGTATTGTTATTCCACGAATTTACCGCCGAATGTCACTCTCCGGGAAAATTACTTTTAATTTAAATTATACGTATACAGAGAATATCTTAAAGTTATCGTACACAGCAGTAACCATTAATGCAAGTCATTTTGTGCTCATTAGCAACGTATCCTATTAGGAAGTAGACATGTGACAATATTGCTCCGGTTTGTCATTTTCAACTGATTATTGACGAAGCAATGCTAAGCTGCAGTACTGTTATTTTTTATGTGCTGTTCTTGTGCAGCAAGGTCAGTATGACATCTCTGGTTTCTCCTCTAAGTCTAAAATGAATTTTTTGTATACGGTTTATTGTATGTCACTGTGAGGGAACACCAGCTAGGCACCCCACTGTACCTATTTTCTGTCACTGAGGGTGAACAACCGTCATGATATTGTATTGTACAACTTTTATGAGAAACAATATGATATATGCCTACATTTTTTGATGAATTTATCATTTTCAAATAATAAATGTGTAAAATTTTAATTATTATTCCATGAAATACTTCCACGTGTGGTATAAAGTCAATATATATAATATATAAATAATATAATTCGATTATATACCTAGAAAATAAATTCAAATTTTGACTCTCTATTTCCTATTATTTTCAACTATGCTCATTCTGATGACGGAAAATAAAGAGAAGCTTTCAAACTACAATGAAAAAACAGGAATCAGCCATGGACAGTGATGGTCAGAGAGAATAACATAAATAACAATGACATTATAATTTCTAGTCGGTAACTACAGTACATTTTTTTCGTTACCTTATTGTTTATTTGTCCTCACTCTATTACTATCTTGATCATAACAGAATCAATATTTTAGCTGTGTGCCAGATGTTTGTTATGAATGACATGTATATATGGTATATTATAGACTTCTGAGGTCGAATGTTCCCACTGAGGGACATGTTACAGATTTTTGAATGATGCAATGAAATTTGAAAAATGGTATAGATATTTTGCTATTGCATCACAAGTGACACGAAAGCAATGAAATAAAAATTATTTCTTCATGACTTCGTATTTCAAGCGGGAGATGGGTTAATTAATTAATTTGCGTCGTTTCAGCGAAATCGTGTGTGTTGACGGGAGCCACCGAGTTGGCAGGGAATGGTCAGCAACGCTCGCACATATTCCGCCGCAATGAAACTGTCGTCCGCAAGAATGTCGCTCTCATGAAGTCCGTGATCGCTTCGTCCGTGTATTCGACTATGTGAGCATAAAATAATTATAATAACAAAAGTGGAGCATTTAAATGGTCTCTTAGGCGCATTGATCAAGCCGCAATTTTTGTAAAGAAAAATGAGAAAAAATAAGAAGAGAACGATTGTAATTTTGTGTCTTCTTTTTCAAAATTTACACGAGAGTGATTGGAAAAATTTATATTTTACAGAGGACCAGAACACGTGACTAATGGAAATTCAAATGTCGATGACCTTTTTCACTCGGCAATTGGCGATCCACTGCCATTCATCGTTATAGATCTCGAGCAAGAAATGATGATCCAGAGACTGCGGATTATGCCTCGAAGAAACTACTTCGATCCTACGAGGTTCATCAACATCTCGGTAGGTATTGTTCTAGAACTTTCACTTTGAACAACAACGCTCATCTTAAAACATGTATATTATATGTCCGGCAAATATTATTAATTATTGATAAAATGCTACAGAACTGTGTTCATTACCTCTATGTTTACGTAGTATATATTGACGAGAATGAATTCTGGAGATTTCAATTTTGCAATTACAGAATAATGTGAAAATTTGTTCCAAAGTCAAAAAAAAATATAAAGGATTCCTATCAACCGCGTGCTTCTAGGTTTCAACTAATTCGCTTCAAACATGAAATTGAATGTAAATAAAGACTGTGTACACACGGAATGTCGGAGAGTTGATTTTTTTATCTCTCCCCACATGACAAAGTTTTATCCTTCCATTTAAACACCGTAAGCGCACCGCTTGACCGCTAAATGTGTATGACGACATAAAAAGTGCGAAGCCTAACCCATTTCAGACTGCATATATGTGTAGTTGTGCCAACACACGCTATGATTATAACGCTTTAAAATTATTTACTCCGACAAGGCTTAAATTGTTTATCCCTGTCCAGATTCGTGGCGGGACCGCTGAAGTCCCAGGACCGGACTTCTCTTCGTACACGGAGCTCGCCTTCTTCGTTGGACCTCCGGTGAACCCGGCGACTTGGATAACGTTCGACTTACCTACGCCGATTTGTGCTCGCTTTGTATCCGTACAACGCACTGCCACTACGGGGCAGAGATTCTTGGAGATAAATGAGGTCGAGGTATATGGACCTCTGTGAAACATTTACATCCTCATTTGGCTGAGAGAAATGAGCGGAAATTTTGAGATTCAGATCTACGAAGCCATAGAGAAAATTCATGTTCTGATATTTATAAAGTTAAAAAGTTGCTCGTAATCCTGTTGGTTTAGAGCGATATCCATACACAGAGCAAAGAATTTAGATGCCCCCCATTGTAGGCAAAATCGATTATAATATGTCCAGCGGTTGCTACGGTAAAATGTTATTCGTGTTCTCAATACATACAGGATCGGTTTACTACAACGATAATTTATATTATGTATAACGGAAAATCAATATAAAAATTAAAACTGCTTCGATTATATTTTTTATATTTCTTCAGCACCTTCCACTGTCATATATTATTGGATTCACTGGCTTGCATCGAGTAAATTTCCAAAATTTAACATGTTTATATTTTATTTAACATTTGGGTCTATTCAAATAATCAGTGTTCCATGAAATTTTCTCGTCCATGATATAATAATTGTTTAGGGAAACTAGAGTTTGCAGTATACAGTAGCCTATTAGTTACTCACGTTAGTTTATGACTGATCGGTCATCAGTTGATGATGTAAGTTTATGACTGATCGGTTATCAGTAAATTGTGTTAGTATTTGTTCCTGGACTTGAATATTTTTCGCTAGTAATGAAGTCAACAATAATAATTAAACTCACTGATTTTCTGTTGTTTCATTGAATTGCTTGAAATTGATGGTTTCTGTGTTGGATGTTAACATTTTGGCGCAGTTTACCAGTCAAAACTTCATGATATGATAGAGGATTAAGAAATTGAACACACAAAGTGAGCTCCGCTTTACTGAATCGAATTTCAGAAAATTAACCTCACAGGAATTGTCATTTTATTGAATTCGGTCGAATTATTAGAATATATTCAAAATTTGGAACATAATGCGGATATTTAATATATAATCATATATAAAATATAAATTAAAATGTAAATTTTGGGTATAGTTAAGCAATTAATGGCATTTGCATGATCCAGGGCCTGAGGCAATTTACACCGTAGAATGTAGCTCAATCGAAACTGGAACTAAAAATCAAAAGGATGTTTTGAAACATGTTAACGATGTTTTCGTAGTCTACTGGGTGACGAGTAGAGGTTAGGATCATTAAGACTGGAACGGCGAGTTGCGGGTTCGCAACCCACAAGTAGATGTAAAAAGTTCTGGTATAAATCGGGCAGATGACCCGCGGTTATAAGAATCGTAAACAGGCCAATACGGCATCACAAAGCTGAAATTACAATATTGAATCATTTATTTTATTTTATATTATATTATATTATATTATATTATATAATTACATTATACGGTATATTATATTATATTATTATAACACACGTAATGAGAGAGATATGTGAAGCGTAAAGAGAGATCTAACCCAATTAACAGTCGGTAGCGACTGTTAGCGCTATATATAGTGAATTCGCTATATAGCGAAAAATATTTCATCGTAGGCAATATCAACTAGCGATATAATAATCAAATCAATTTTCAATATTAAAAGACATGAAATCTTTGATGGAAAATGAGAAGAACCTTCACACCCACGAGCAAGAAAATGCAACAACATCAACATCATCATCATCAGCAGCAGCTATCTCAATCAATCGTCAGTTATGGAAAGATCGATTACCAAAGGCCGGATCCCTTGTGAATCAAGTCACGAAAAATTCAAGAATCGGCAACAGGCCATGGGCCTATTTCTTCAGTGCCGACACTTCTATTATATTCTATGAACAAGAATCGGCAACAGGCCATGGGCCTATTTCTTCAGTGCCGACACTTCTATTCTAGTCTATATGATCACGTTCACCGGTGTAATTGCAAATAAAATCAGGCTACGCAGTATCTATTCTTGATATAATAAGTTAATAAATGGCATCAACGAGTCATGTTTTCATGCGCCTGTCCATATGAAATTCAGAATTTTTGGTACATTTTTGAGTCCGATTTCATTGCGGATTCGGTATTCCGAATTTTTTATTATCATCAAACAACCAGAATAATTTTCCATCTTAAACACGGCGCAAAACGTGGCATTCAAGAATCTGGACAATTGCGTTAAGAAACGGAGATAAAGCAGAGAGAATATTTCAGTACACATTCTCAACATGCAATCAAAAAATTCTAAAAATTCATGAAAATATCATGGTGATCAAATCGCAGAGAGGTTATGTTTTAACCTAAATAAATATGACCTCATATAATACAATCTAATACAATCATATCATATAACTAATACAATCATACAATTTAAGAGGATATCACTAATTTTCGGAATCTTGGAAACGGTTAACAGAGATTTGAAATACAAGATCGATGTTCTCTTCATAAATTTCGCTATAAAAAACGAAGAGATCAAGAATGTTCAGTTTTCCAAAAAATGTATCGAGTCGAATATTTTGCAGAACATTTCCTTCATTAGCAGGGATTCTTGAAAAAACCTATTTTGGTCCATACATCTCAAGTTCAGCTATCTCCAAAAGTTTCTCCCCGGCAGTAGCAGTTCGTTGCACCGAAACATAACGCACACAAATCGGTGTACTCAAGTCGGACGTGAACCACATCCCGAGCGAAGTCGGAGGCCCGGCGTAGAACGCAAGCTCCTTGTACGAACTGAAGTCCGGACCCGGCACTGCAACGGTCCCTCCTCGGATCTGGAATAGGAAAATGCAACTAATTATTGTTATTTTATATAATATATATAACTATATATTAGTCGTGCAACGCCTTCAACAATCGGTGACGATTTTTGGTGCTTAATCGACTATTTCAAGTCTAGTTTTGATCGTTGAACGACGTTTAACATTGAACTTCAAGTCAATTTTCCTTAACATCCTCGTAACAATTAAGTTTAGTAACTTTTCTTTATAAATAATCAACCAGTTGATTTAGCATATAAAGCTTTTGTAAGAGTGAAAAGTTTTCGTACCCATTTTCGGTCTATACTCTATAGGACTGTCGACCGTGTCGACTGTCGAGCGCACATCACCATTCACCAGTCGTATTCTAGCTTTAGTACAGAGAGGCAAAGGTCGAGTCATTTCTGCTTGCTTTTAACCATATCGTCCGTATATATGAGTTATTAAAATGGATAAAATCTTGAATATAACTATTGTGCGAGGTACAAAATATTCCTTCTCCCGAGCTTGCAATTTTTCACAGCACGCTAGATTAATAAAGCCAATGTGCAAAACATTCCTCAGCCTACCAACCGAATGCAAAGCATCTGCAAAAAATATTGTATCTTAATACGTACAGAGATGTTGAGGAATCTCGAGGGCGCAAGGATGTCGGTGCGTGTCATATAATCCGTACGGTTTGGATCGACATTTCCTGCCCGAGATCTGTCACGACGAAGGGATTATTTGGGTCAACTGTACCCGAATGAAAAAAATCGTACTTGTCAATTTTACCGTTGGTGACACGATCCGGTGCCTGCAAAAAAAATAAAGACATTATAAGTAATAAATAGTTTGGTTGGTTATAATTAAATGACTCAGTGTTGAAGGTAAGGACTTTGAATCAAATGGGGGAAGATGGTGCATTGAGATGCATGATTGCTCTATTTATAAGTGTAGTATATATTCTTGTAGTCATATTTCGGACATATTTATACACGTTTTTTTATTGAAAAAACAGAATTTTAAGCAACCGCTTCTCCTTTTCCATATAGGTTCTAAGAGACCAACATTACTGTCGAATTTACTCGTAATTAAGTCGGCCATAGTCAAGTTAGGGGATAGTCAGGACTTAATTAAGTCAGTTTCAAATGACAATTAACCATCTCAATTTTTTTTCATTTATTCACTTGCTACGTCGAAGAAAACATGCTCATAAGTTCATCCTGCTTGTTATCAATGCTACAGCAAGATCAATGTATTTATAAACCAATCTAAAATATTACCATTTAACCAATCCCTTACATTTACGTTCAAATGCTCATCGAAATGTATTCCTTTCACAATGAAAAGATGGATAACGCTAATTCTGTATTCAATACCATTTGAAAAAAAAATAAATATTGCGTTTATGCCTAATTTTTCATTATAATTTATTTACATAAATGCTATAGACGGATGAGGCGCGAACAGGTTTCATGAGAGCGACGTTTTTGCGGACGAGAGCGGCACCACGTCGGTAGAAGTGACTTGGCTGCGCTGTGCTCACCGAGCTCACTTGACGGTTGCTAACCTCGCACAAGCGCCCTGAGAAAGCCCGAAGTGACATTTTTTTTATTTTTATCTCTCTTCTTTCCACACATTTCATACACAGATAACCTCCAGTTATGGATCTAATTATCCTGCGTTAAAGTGACAACATAACATAAGACAAAGCAATTTAAATTTAATCGATTCTAACCGAACCTAACCAGGCATGGGGAATATTTGAAAGTTTAAGGGGATCGGCTACCCTAAAATTTTCAATTTTGGCGTTTTTCGGTTTTTGTGCTCATCTGAAAGCTGGAATTCTGCTCTTTAGATGTTAGAGTCGATAGATATGGTCTTTACGAATCGAATGATACGTGTCTCAATGTTGTAGGATGATATTTGTGGGAGGAGATAGATTTTCTGAAGTACCCCTTTTTAGCCGTTTTCTATGAATTTCACGTTCTCTATCAATTTTTTTGAAAAATACATAGGAGCAAAATGTTTTTCTTTTTACCTTTTACGTATGTATGTGAAGTTTCATGATAATCGGATAATAACTGTAGAAGTTTTTCCGGAGGGTAGCCGATCCCCTTAAGATCGATGTTAAATGGGGTGAAACAGACCATTGGTAGGCATGGCCAAGCTTCGATCAATTAACCTACCAGGCTACCTCTTGTATATTATTCATGGCTTAAAATTAATGACTCTCAGAGCTTCGATAAATTATCCAATCCGGCTTATTATTAATCGTTTCATTCAGAATCAGTGCCTAGAATCAACTCCAAGAAAATTTACTACTTCTTGGGAAACATTTTCTTCTTATTACGAAGTAAATGTGCTTATTATTTAATCTTGCTGAAAAAACTCATGGTTTGCATATAATTCATACATTCAGTAATGTTTATGGTTCAGTAGATTCTGACATAACATTCATGATTAGTGATTACTGTCCTGCCAAAAATATAGCTGCACCCACTTGAACCGACAAGATTTATTAAGCTTCTAATAAGCGGCCTTACAGGTTTTTATTCCTGCTACTATGCTAAGTAAAGTAACTTCATTCAAGTTTAAACCTAGCCTAGTACCCTACAGAACAACTGAAAGTCTAGAAACGATTTTAAACCTACCGTCCGTTGAAAATATCTGATCAAAAGGCCAGTCTTTTAGATCCGTGAACTAATCAAGAAAAGTACAAGGATCGGCGACAGGCCTATTCTTCAACGCCGAAGATACCTACTATACTATAATAAATGTTTCGTTCCGACAATCGTTTGAAATACTCAACTCACATTTGTCGTAAAATGTCACCGCCGCGCAGCGTCGTTTTGAGCACCACTGAGCACATTTTAATTCGCTGTCCAGACTTAGCCACGACGTTAGCCAACAAGACGAACGGCTGTGTTGTGCGACCCAGACGGGTTCGTTCTCGTAGTACTGCGCGTTGCATTCACTCGTCACCAACATCAGTACAGCTAAGCCAACCAACATTTCTCTGCGTGGTCCTATCACGAACCTCAATAAATTTGAGCTACGACAGGGAATAAAGCCACACTGCAGAGAATTAAAAAAAATATAACTTAGTACTCACTGCAGTGAGTGACAGAGAGCGCATTTTCTCATCGACGAAAACGTGAAGTCACGGACGGACAGAGAGACGGACGGACATGGCGAGCACAATAGCGACTTTTTTCCATATATGAGCAAATGCCTAAAAAATAAATAAATTTTGAATATCTTTCCCTCATTGTTCGGGAAAATAATACGTTTTAGGTATTGTAGGATAGGTGCCAGAAATGGCATATATTTTCACAGCGTCAGGCATCTAATTATAACGAACGTGCACTAATATGTAACAAATAATATATAAAGTTTTGTGCGAGCAATGAGCATGCAGTGAGGTTATGAAAGCAGTTCTGCATGATTAACAAATCTTCCTTATTCGTACAAACTTCTTAACTACTGTCAAGTGTATATTGTTTATGGCATGCTAAAGGCCTAAATTGCATAGAAGTTCATATGAAGAGAAAAAATTTAAAAGCAAAAAAAAAAAGCCAAGCAAATTCACCATATCGATATGTTCCAATCGAGTCGTGTTTTTCGATATAATGTTAGGTCTTGTTTAGGTTTTATGTCTGCCTTAGAATTTTGACTTATAAAATGATTTTATTCATTTTTAGTTTGTCGAACTGATGATGGAGCTGGATTCCGAAACGTTTTTAATATCGATTTGGTGAATTTGCTTGGCGTTTTCCTTGCTTTTAAACTCTTTGTGAACTTGCGATATAAGCAGACTGATGACATAGGAGTAAAAAATGCATTGAAACGAAATGAATAAAACATTTGACGAAATTTTCTTGTTTCAATACTGATTAGTGATATATATTTTTGGAGAAATGAGGGCAAATGTAGGTACTTTCATTGAGTATTAGAAGGAAATTCAACAAAATATTCACGCGTTTCTATACGGCTTCAAACATTGCTGCTACGATCACAGCCTACAACACAATGAGAACTATGAACAATTCGTTTCGTTGTTAATACCAGATAATATTAGAAAGAGAATATAATCATACTAGAGAATAAAACGTAGCTACCAGCGGACACTGTCAGTCCGACTATAATAAAATAATAATAATAGCGGTTTCAGCGTTTATTATGCCGTAGACCTATCGCTGATTCTTAAGAGGCCGGTGGAGCGGCCGCCAGGCGCGTTAATCCCTATGAGGGTTCTTAACAATGAAGGCAACCAATAACTCTCCTCCTAAATAAGATACAAGTCTGAAATTTGGAATGGTGATCTGGCTAATTATTTCCAATTAAAGAAGGTTATTAGTAAGAAAACAACAAATTTGATAATAGAGTACAATTTCGTAGAAAAATTAGTAGTATGACGCTCGCTGATTAAAAATGTAGAGGAGGGGGAGTGGAGGAGGGGAATGTGCAGCCAGACGTTAGAAGGCAGAGCCTGACCGAGAAATTTTAACCGCGTGAGGCCGTGTGGGCTCGATGCGGCGTTCATCGACCGCTCCACCTGACTCTTAACAGCGCAGAACATCCACAGCTTGTTTCGGTCTCGAACTCACAACTCACTGCTACAATTCTGCTGCGCTTAACCGCCCGGCCTCCTCGCCGATTCTGACCAGAAACTGGCGCACAGAGCTGGCATCGAACCCGCGCCTCTCTGCTCCAATCTTGGTACTCTGGACTTGAACCACTGGGCCACTCTGCCAATGAGCTCTTTCTCAAACCTGGGTCGTACTTTAGGTCCATTAGCCATTTACTCGCAGCAGTCGTTGAACGAATGGAACTATTGCCTTATCCTCTCCTAGAAGCATTCCAGACGAAAAAGGTAGTAATTGGTTTCTGATGCATTAGAGTGAGCTGTCCAAGACATCGATGTTCAATGTAATTATAAATAATGTACGAGTACCAACCAGAAGGTATCATGGCACCACCAATCAACCAGTAACAAGCTGCACTATAATGGAAGGAAGAGAATCGTCATCCGTTTAACTTGAGTGCATAAAAGCCTTACGAGTGGCTGTGAGAATGAGCCAAAATCGTACGTCTTTGTCAACGGTCGATCATGAAAATGAGCGAAGATCATAAACGTGCATTGTCCATAAAAGAATCAAGTCTCTTGCACCCAATGGAAGCGAGTTTTTAGCACCACTTATACCTAAAAGAGCGATGTCAGTAAAGGTTTATTAAATTGCACCATTAACGTGAGACCATTCTGAGCCGAACTTGGATATTTCGTTTTTATATTCATATCAACATTTTGAATATTAATATAAAATATTAAAATTGTATGTTAATATTTAAAATTAGGTCCTGTACGTGTAGTTTTATTATTATACGCCCAAGAAAACTCGATGCATTTTCCAATTGACTGGAGTCACGCACTCTACTGTAATCAAAATGAATCGGGCTTCTCGGTCAAACATATGCTTCCAACACTAATGGGGCTTTAACCTCTTTAGTTTCAGAGATGTATAAAGATTCCAATAAAAACTTTATGAAAACAAATACAGCAAATCGAAAATTCAAAGCTGCATGTTCTGGTTATCCAGAATAAGCTTCCAAGATGTGACAACTGAGTATTATCATTATTATCTAATAATATTATTAGAAAAATAATAGATATTTAGTATGGAAACTTGCGGACGCGGGAGAATAAAACAATCATCCAATGCAAATTTACTGAAACTATACGAATGAATCAATCTTCCTAATAAGCTTTCGCTCAAGAAAAAACCATAAGGATCAAAATGATATCAATTTTATTATTAAAAATTTCACGAAATTCGACGTCTTCCTTGGAGCAAACTCTTATTAAGTAACCAACCTCAGACAGATTCAATAAGGACGCTACAAAAAAAAAGTTGTTTATTATTTAGCAAATGACCGTAGCTTCACTACACGTTTACTGTTGGCGTTATATATCTATTGGTCAACGACACAATGGATTTTTGGGGATTGAAATCAATCGCTCACTGAATATTTTTGCGCAGGAATTTTTGAGCAAACAATGGGAACAAATTTATACCAATTTGCACCTCGCGCGTCTTTTTTTAATGAAGTATTTCTGCAATTGAAACCTAATTTAACGTGCGGGTTGCATTACAACCAACGTGAAATTATGAAAAAATAGTCAGTGATAATTTTGTGACTTACAAACTTCACAACGACAGTGGTTCGAAATTATTTTCAATATGCTATCTAGGAGGAATCATATAAGACAAAAGACGCTTAGAGACTAACTATGATAGATCATCACATGGGTATTCATTAACAATATTTCATGGAACTTGTACCCAGACATCGTAGTTATTACAGACATCGTATTTAAATATCACAAACATCGATTTGGTGTATGTTCTCAGAGCCACTCTTGACGTATAAAGCAAAGACAGCACAGAATTGCTCTCACTAAAATTATTTGACTTCATGCCACTGATGACTAGCTAAACTAGTTCGTAATAAACTATTAAATGAATAGTTCGGACCAGTTAACAAAACTGAAGAAAAACACTTAAACACTTGAATTGAAGAAAAATGGATCTAATGTAAACTAAATTGGAACATAGATTCAAGTTGCCAACGAAAGCATTTGAAAAGTTAAATTAAAATGATTTTTATTAGATGCAATGGCAGGAAATATTAAACAATTTCACTCCCGAAACTTCTTTTTTGGAACAGGAGATTCGCTTCCAGGGCGGCTTCTCTTAAACCTTCCCACTCGCTCGCGCTCGTAGTCAGCTTCACCTTTCTTAGAACAGACGGGATTTTTCTGGGAAGAAACACTGACAAGCTTAGCGTACTTCTTCTTTTTTAATTCACGAGCTTGATATGTATCAGATTCACTGTAAGATCGGCCTTCATTGATATCGCGAACAGACCAATTTTCGGCGCAGTCTTTCTGCCTTATATTTCTAGGCGATATGCCGGGAGTAGAAATTTCGCGATTTTTTCCCCAAAGAAATTGATGTTTCCTTGACATTCTTTCTCTCAGAGGTGAATACTTGAATGGCGATATTTTCACGGGCGACGCGGTAGACATGGCTCTCTTGGTCTTAGTTCTGGACGAACATGGATTGGTTTTCGGTTCCGATAACATTTTCTCCCTAGCATGACCTTGAATGCGAGCTCCTTTGACGTCTTTATTCAATATTTTCACTTTCAATTCCTTTGTCACATCTTTAGATCCATGCGAAACAGCACGTTCTGATTTTTCTTCATCAGAATCGCTTGAGTCTACCGCTGAAATTACTCGTTTGAACTTTTTTTTCGTGTGCACAGCACTTACGTCAGGCAAGTCACCAGCCTCATCTTCATCCATATACTCAACAAAGTCATCCGGTACTACAAAAGCGTCATCTTGCATGGAACCGTTTTCATAGTCTTCTGCAATTTTTTGCAGTGCCTTACTGCGTAACGTTGAACCACCCTCAAACATAGGCCTGCTGTGTTCACCATCGGAGGAACTTAAAGTAATTTCAGACTCTTCAGTTTCTGAACCTTCTTCAGCCTCATCATCCAACATATCATGAACATCAACTTCTTCTTCTTCTTCAACTTCGTCATTTCCAATGCTACTCGTCTCTTCATCAGCATCCTTGTCGTCTTCTTGTGCAGACTCTTCTTTTTCAACTGAACACTCATCATCATTCTCTTCATCAGATGCTGAATCAATGACGTCTTCATCTTCCTCATTTTCTTCTTTGCCTTCTTGAGCTACGTAATCCGAGTCATCGCTCTCATCTTCCATAAGGTCACGCACCAACATAACAGTTGGGTTTTTTCCTTCACCACTGTTGCTACTATCAGAAGACAGTAAATCCTCATCACTTTCTTCTGAGGAATCTTTATCTTTAGCAGCAACAACTTCTCTACCTTTCTTCTTAGCAGCTAATTTTAAGTTAACTGCAGGGTCAATTTCTTGAAATTTGGTGGACTTGTCAATGATGGTCTTACTTGATTTTACTTTTGTATTGCAACCATCACCTTTTCTGTCCTTGGCTTCAGATGTTGCAATTTCAGCAGCATCATTCCCACAAGAAGTCTTGGCTTTTTTAGATTCTGAACCAGATTTTAAATCATCATTACCTAACTGAGGATTTTTCTTGAGTTTTTTCCCAGCCTTGACAGCTTTAGAAATACCTTCAGTTGGTTTACCCATCTCAGTAGACTCCTTAACTGAAGAGCTAGTAGTGGAAGATGTTTTGTGTTTGTGACTTTTAACAGATGGCATTGCTAAACTAATACTTATGCAAATGCAATCTAAATAAGAATCTGTTTGAATAAAGACAATTAAGGTAGAATTAGATGCATGTATAAGTTTTCTTTCCATCCATGACATAAGCTTTATCTTAAAGACAAATATTTATGTGCATCCAGGCATAATGGCATTCAAGTCATCATTAAACATAGGAGCAAAATGAGAAAAAAATTGAGGCCAATTAGTTGAAATGAAGAATTGATCTAATTAATTACATGAGTAAAATTTTTTAAAAACTTAGGCATGTTATATTGAAAGCAATAAGTCGACAAGGCTTAATGCAGCCAACAGCCTTCCAGTTCATGACACAATAAACAATATTTGTAGCATATGTTGCATGTAAAATAAACAGCAACAGCCTTAAAATTTACATCTATATATAAAATTAACCACCCAAGCAGTCAATAATGGCTCTTAGTGAAACATTCATAATCTAATCTTAAAATAATAGAACTATAATAATGATTATACAATTAAGATTTATAATTAGGCTGCTCTAGAACATCCAATCCCAAGAACAAACATTGCAAGTAGGGTAACTTGCATTACATTCATGGCAGTTTTGATGACTTTTTGTGAATAAAGAACCAGAATGAATTAAAAATTTAGTTCTTGGATAAGACTCATAGCAGGTTCTTTTCATGAATGTAAATATATATTTACTTCTGAATATTTGTAAACTATAAAATGCTTGGCAAGTTATATACAGTGTATGACAATTTATTCATAGCAAACAATAACACAAAAACTTAGGAATTTTTCCAACTAGTACATGTATATAGCCTATCTATAATATCATTTATTGGCTAATATGCAATAATCCAGTGTATTAATCCATCAAAACTTAAAAAAAAATCAAAATTATTATTAAAACAAATTTATTATTATTAGCCTATATTTATTATTCTAAAAATTCATAAATTATTAGTTATTCAAACTTTCAAACATACTAATCATAAAGACATCTAGTAGTCAATTTATAATGCTCATCTACAACATTTGTTACTCAAGTCTAAACAATGAGTCCAGAGTTCAGACCCTGCCTACTGTAAAATTCATGTATGTCTTTCTCAACTTAATGAATATTAAATTTTATTTCCAGCTTATGTCACCCAGGAATCTGAAATAAATGGGAGAAAATTGCCGTCAATTTTATTTCTCCCATTGCCATCATGTCACCAAATTACCAATCCGTTCTTATAAAATAGACATGTAAGAAAAGAATCATTAGAATGGAAATTTCTTAGCTAATTTAAGGCTATAAATTAAAACATATTTGGGAATTAGGAATGAATAAGATAAAATGTTAATTGTTTTGCCTGGGCAAGGCAGAACACAAGACAAATATATATTATCCTTATCAAGACTGATATATTTTGGCTTCAAATTGACTATATTATAATAAATTTAGAATTATGTGACTTGATCATGAACTTTTGTATGTAACAATTAGTGAATTACCTACATAGTAGAACTCTGTTAAGCTCTGGTTAGAATAATGCAGTTTCAAAATTGGCTAGAACTAACAGGTAATAGAAACGGCTCCTACTAGTTACCATTACCAAATTGCCAATAAGCCTGCCAGCAGCACTAAAGTCACTGTTCTTTCATGAAAAAAAAAAACAATCTTTCAAAACAAAACTGAAGGTACCTACTGAATCACATCTTTCTACCTAGGTACGTAAACATAGGTAGTGCAATGATGCAATCAAAACAGTTTTACATCTGTTGTGTGGCAATTTAATCCAAATGGTACTGGTACCTAGTTCTGACCAGTTCCACTGTTCCCACCTTCCACTATTCTACAGTTTTGAAGAAAAGCAACAACTGTGCCGACACAACTCATAAGACTAGGTTAGTAAGGCTAGCTACCTAATAGCCTAATAGGTATTCACAATCAATGAAATGACTTAATCAGTATCAGTGGAATAGATGGTAGTTGGCATGCACATGATGTGGTATATGCCAAAACAATAAATAGTTGTAGGCCAGACTGCCACTCCGTACCCCAAGTCCCAACTCCCAGGGCCCCAGAATGCCCAGATCATGGCAGTCGGCAGATGATAGGAACAGACAAATGTCAATTCCGATATGCCTGAGCTGAGAAAAATTGAAAATAAAAGATCCGTCACACACTTATCAAGTTATCAATAAATGTAAATAACATATCAATGGATACATATAACTTTATAAGCATGCAAATAACAGCATTAAAAGTCTCATCGTGCCCGAATAGCGAACAGCCGAAAATAGTGAAGTGAACGACGAGTACTAGCCAACTGGCAAGCCCAGTAGGGCTTCCAACTTTCAAATTACGCGGCAATCCATCGCATCTGCAAGTGTTCGAAATTCAGTGTTGCCAGATGGGCCTTTTTCAGGCCAAATTTCGCAAATGTAGCCCTTTTTGAAATGCATTGGACTGGCAAAATTCATTTGTTTTTTTTTGGCCTTTTGGGGCCATTTTTTATGAAAAATGTAATTCCCGCCTTTTTTTAATAATTTTATCCTTCACTTATAATTCAGTTTTACCCAAGACGAGTATACTCAAATTTCGACACGTAAATGTGTCATCACCTAGGTTTAGGTGGCAACACTAGCGAGTGCCGCCTAATCCGGGCTACACTTTGTTTGAACCATGGGACTATATCCAGTCATGGTCAACCATGATATCCAGTTGCCGACTCGTATTAATAACCATGGATGGCAGAGCTGTAAGCGCGTATAACCGAGTGTAGTTTTCACTTCTCATGAGTAGTAAATTCAGCACTAATTTATGAGGTTATATCGCTGTTTCTAGATACATTCAGCCTTCTGGTGCGAGTCACTACAAATGTCACTTTAAATATATATAATGACTACTACTTTCCAAGTTATGATAGGCAATATATTTTTTTCTACGCATTAAAAAGTTGTGATAAATTTATAGCATTGACTTTTAATATTTACCTTGGTCTTTCAAGATCCACTGCATCTTTATACCGCAGAAATGAGTTTAAATTTGTTTTAATTTCCGCGTATAAATATTGTACCGTCAATGCCGAAAACTTCGCCACATCACTTATAACATATAACATAACATATTGATCTCGGCGCTGAAGTGTAGGCCTGATGTGGCCTGTCGCCGATTCTTTTACTTTTCGTGCCTTGATCACAGAAGATCTAATATCGTTTCATTTGACCGGATCTTTTCATGACTGACGATAGTTTCAAGTAGCTACTAGACTTCCACCGGTTTCGATATGGTGCTAGGCATTTCAAATCTGAACATATATTTTTCCATAGCATTATCTAGTCTGTTCTTGAACGCGTCCATACTTGGAGCGCCAACTTCTCTATTTTGTTAGCAAAATTGAGCCAAAACTCTCTAACGCGATCGAAAAGTTTTTATAGTTGTTAAATGGCGATCGAATAATAAATTATAAATACCATAGTTCTCTGACCAGTATTCTACGGTTTTATTTGTGGTCGGCGAGTAACACTGAATCGACACTTTCGCGGACCCGCCTGCGGACTCAGCTCAACCGAAGGATTCATAACTCCTACAATACTGAACGGATTTGCTTGAATTTTGGAATATAAGTAGTTATTATCGATACGCTGCGGCAGGAATTATTGCAGATTTTTTACATAAATTAGTTTTCAATTCAAATTAATAAACGTATTATTTAATCAAACGAAGCACTCATAACTCCTACAATACTGAACTGATTTCATTGTATTTTGAAATATAACTAGTTATAATCGATACGCTGCGGCAGGAATTATTTCAGATTTTACATAAATTAATTTTTATTAAAACTAATAAACATATTTTTTGATCGACCGAAACACTCATAACTCCTTCAATACGTAACGGATCTGCTTGCAATTTGGAACATAAGTATTTGCTGTAAATTCGCTAGTTTATGAATATTCAAAATTAATAAATATCCAAAATTTTGGATTAAGATGCGAAAACTTGAACATTGACGAAATAGTTTCGAAGAAGCGCACGGTGTTCACTCATTGGGAAACCGACGTTATATAATGTTAGTCATGTGTGTTTGCCTAGTCTCGAGTTGCGATAGCTCCTCAAAAGTTGTTTATATTGTTAAATGGGCCTTGCATGACCGATAATTTCCAAACAAACCAAATACCATCTAATTCTCCGGATGCCGTTAGAAGAATTGTAGGATTATCTCATAGAAATTAGTTTCCTACTGTCTGATCAACCAACTGGGCATTGTTCCATATATTTTTACATATCCAAGTCTTGAATTTAAAATACTCAATGCTGTTTAATGTCATTAAAATGTTCATAAAGTGATTTGAAAAAGAAAAAATTTAGCATACTCCTTCATTAAAAATTGACACAAGCCTAATTATGTCAGTTCAAGAAATACTATTAAATGATATACAACAAGTACCAAATAATAGTGCTATTTATCTTAAGTTATCATGATGACTATGATGAACTGACATTTGTAATAGTTTATTTTGACCAAGTTAATCAAAGGATCACTAAGTCTTCACCACAAAATAGTATCTTTGCTTCATTTGCCAAAACCGTTTCAAAAGCCATAGGCAGTAACGCTGAACTCAGCAATTAATGTATTCCTTTCCTGCAATACAGATACATTATTCATACTATTCATGCTATGGAAACACACCGCAAATCAAATTATATTATTCCAGTTTTATTAGAACATTCCAGCCAGGCCCAGTAGAAGCATCGACATGTTTGAACGAATGTCACCGAATGTTTGATCGAGTAGAGTCGAGTGCAGCTCCTCTTCTTACTGAGAAAGATGATCAAAATTCGAGGCTGTTCACGAAAAAGTTCCGAAATATTTAACTATTCAGAAATTACTGAACTTGTTCATGAAGCGACAAAAACTTTTGTTTAACTTCCAAATTTTCACTCAATAACAGAGATGCATGAAAAAATTAATATTATATTCGATCCCTAAAAGATTCGAAATATATATTGACGTCAATGATCTATTTCGTGGTTTCAGTTCGCCATTGCGGTATAACCGCTCAGTAATTAAAGAACATTCCATGCGACTCAAACCAATTAAAAGAAAAATGCTGGTAGGTCACAACACGAAGTGCTTCATTATAATTAATGGCAGCAAAGTTAGTAAACGCCATGAGCATATATCAGGCCCAGCAAAAATTTCGCTGACGCTTACACAGCATCAGGCAGAGCAAACACGAAATACACTGAGCTACATAATGCGCTCTATATTATATAACAACCAAACCAACAGATTTTAATTTTTAACATCCGATTTGTTGATGGCTTATTTATTGAGATTAAGCCTACGTATGATTTTAGGAGTGTGTGAATTGACTTATTCATAGCAATTCAGTATAAAAAGTGGTGGTTATTAAAAAGTAATAAGTTCAATAATTAGATTCAGTCTCAATGATGACACTTGTAGTATAATACTATTAATATTAAGCCCTAAATTAAGGTTTTAAAAGTTCTTCAAGTTGTGCTGTGATTCCACTGAAAAAATAATAATGAAAATTGCAAAAATATTTCTGCCAACAGGAGGTAATGTTGAAGATTTACACTTTACACATAAAATTTTTGCTATTGAAAGGTCTTTTCAAAAATCATGGACGGATGCATGAACGTATATAAGTATTTAGCAATATAAATATATTGAAATATGAAGGTTGTAATCTATAGATTTGGACGAATTATAACGCATATTAGATTAGAAAAACATGTACTGAACGACACAATTCTGTGTGTTAAGCACAAATCAGGCAATTACACACACTACTCAATTATATATAGGTTTCATTATCGAGCTCGTATGTTCGAATGACTCATTACGTAAATGACATTAAGTCCGGCATACGGTCAGAAATTTATTATGCGTGTCCTAAGTAACATCGCAATTGTTGCGTCACTGATGACAGAATTCTCAACGCAGCGCGCAGAATTACAGACGAATTTAACAACTTTTAACGATGACACTTACTTTTTATAAGAAAATCGGGACTTGGAAAACTTACGGTAATGAATTTAAGTTACGTATTGCTAAAATATCAAACTTTCGACACTATAATCTCAAACAAAACATCCGTTTACCACGATGAGCTCATAATCTT